TGTGTGAGCCTCTTTTAATAGGTTCAAAGTATGTGGAATAAAAATGTGCTGTACAGAAAAAAGAAAGGGGCAAATCCAGAATTCTAGTTAGGTTCATCAGCACTGTTCTCTCAGTAACTGATAGAAAAGAGTAGAGAGAAAATATAGGCAGGGCCGGCCAAATAGCTCAGTGGATTAAAGTGCCTGCAAGCAGGTGCAGGGCTTGGAGGTTCAATCCCCAGGCCTGCCAGGCCGGCTCCACGCCCAGGGCACGCTGAGACAGGGTGGCCAGTGCCTGTAATCCCAGCTCTTGACAGGCTGTAAACAGGTGGATCACTATGAGTCTGATCTAGTAGTGAGACCCTGAACATCCTGTAGACCCTTCTCCAAAAAATATATGGAAAAAAAAAAAAAGAAAGAAAATACTGGCAGACTTTTGTACAGTCAGCATGACCTAGTTGGCACACAGACCAAATTACCCGTGAACTCCTTCTGAGGCTCACGCAGAACATTTGCCAAGAAATAGCTTAATCTGGATGAAAACAAGTTCAGATAAATTTAAGAAGGTTGGAGACATTGAAAGTAAATTATTTGCCCATAATGGATTGAAACTAGAAATCAGTAACAGAAAAACAGCTGGAAAATCCTCAAAGTTTTGGATACAAAATAACACCTTTCTAAAAACACATGGATAAAAAGAAAGAAAGAAAGAAAGAAAGAAAGAAAGAAAGAAAGAAAGAAAGAAAGAAAAGAAAAGAAAGAAAGAGAGAAATCACAGAATTAGACTTCTTTTTTTTTTTTTTTTAACGGAACTGGGGATTGAGCTCAGGCCCTTGCACTTGCCAAGCAAGTGTTCATTCTACTGAGCTGTCTCCCTGGCCTGAAAATATTTTTAATTGAGTAATTAGTAAAGTATACAGATCAAAACTTAGTGCCAGGTGTAGTGGTCATGCCTGTAATTCCAGCACTCAGGAGGCAGGGGGATCACTGCAAGTCAGAAGTCAGCCCAGGCTCCCTGGCTCACTGGCTACAGAGTGAGCTCAAGCCCAGCCTGAACGACACAGCGAGACCCTGTCTCTCTCTCTTACTCTCACATATGCACAAGTTTAGGCATGCATCTAAAGCAAAGCTTAGAAGAAAATTTTTATAATTTTTTATTTTTATTTATTTTTCTTTATATTTTAGGGAAGGGTCTACAGGGTATGCAGTGTCTCACTACTAGATCAAACTCATAGTGATCCGCCTGTTTACGGCCTCCCAAGAGCTGGGATTATAGGCATGCACCATGCTCAGTTGCCCCTGGGGCGCGGGCGGGGTCGGCATGGCAGGCCCAGGGAGGGACGCAATCCCAGGCTTCTATGCCTGCTTGCAGGCACTTTAATCTGCTGAGCTATTTGGCTGGCCCTATAATTTTTTAAGTCAGAAGAAAGTTTTCAAATCAGAGATTCACCCTAAGAAAATAGAAGATGTTTTTAAGAAAGAAAGGCTTTTGATGAATATGATCATTATGTATATCTAAATTATGCCAAGAAACTTAATAAAAAGTAAATTTAAAAGAATGGCAAATGAAACAAAACAAGCAGAAAGATGAAAAGAATATAAGTAAAAAAAATCAGTGTAATGAAAACACAAAGACCCAAAGATGTTGAGACAGATATTCACAGTAGTATTATGAATAATAGCCCCAAACTCGAAGGAGCCCAGGTGCCCATGAAGCTGGTGAGCGGGCAAACGCATTGTCGCATATCCATACAATGGAATATTAGCAAGGTAGGAATGAGCTGTAGCCTGCTCATACACACAGCATGGACGAATTTCAAGACCACTAGGCCGAGTGAAAGAAGGCAGACACAAAAGCCCGTGAAGTCTATTATTTCATCTGCGCGAAGCCCCAGAAGGAGTGAGGCTATGCCGACAAAACTGGATTTGCACGATTTTTATTTGAAAAACCAGCCGAAGGCAAGCAAAAGGCATTGTTCTTCTTTCCAACTGAAGCATAAGAGTGGAGAACTGGGAGCTGTGGTCAATATTTTAAACATATGGGCAATCAAAAGTATGCTATAATCACCCAGGGAATGATGTGAATGATTAATGGAATTTTTGCTGTTTTTGGGCCAGTAAATTAAGACGATAAAATACTAAGGTAATTTGTTATGGTGGCCCCAACGGCACTCAGAAAATTAGTTCTGCAAATTATATCCTTAGTAGATGCAATATTGGAATAAATTTATAAGGTCAGTGAGTTCAGAACTTGGAATGGTATCCTGTATTTTGAGAGTTGTCTTTTGAAAATAGATAACTTAGATTTTCTCTTCTCTTTTCAGTCGTTTTTTCCTGAATAGTAACTTTGACCATTCATTGGGAATAGCCAGTAATAGCTGGCTTTTTGATATAGTCCCCAGGGGAGAAATCCAGCGGCCCAACAGCCACATACGCAGGGACTGGTGCCTTAAGTTGACATAGGGGCCCTTGAGGACGTGGTGACCGCAGATCTGATGGCAGAAACACAAGCGAGAAGTTTCAAGCAGCAGACAGGCTGTTGAGAGCATTTTCTGGGTGTCTTCTCACCCAAAACAAGCTTCCTGGATGTTTGCGGCTGGAGTGTCCTCAGCCTTACACGGGACTCTTGCAGCCTTCCATCATGGATGTTTATATGATAAAGTTTCTGTATCACATCATCTGAGCTTAGATTTCAAGGTGGCAGTCCTCTATCCCAATATTGAAGGTGTTTTCCATGCATTTGTGAAAAATGCCACCCTGTATGGATGGAAACCCGCCCCAAAGACTGGTCATAGCCAAGCCAGTGTGTATGCGTTGTGTTTGCTTCGGTGTCAGCCTACCTTTTTCTCTGGCTCAGTTTTCTGCAAAATAATGATGAATTGGATCGGCAGTGTGAAGAAGTTGTGAGGTCTTGAGGGTCTAGAAATAAATCTTGAAGTAAATACTGAATATTCTGATTCTTTTTCTGGAGGACTTCATGTTTTCAAAAGATACAGTTCTTAAAAGGGCTACTGGGCCAGGGAGATAGCTCAGTAGAATAAGCGCTTCCCTGGCACGCGCAAGGGCCTGAGTTCAATCCCCGGTTCCACAAAAAAATTAAAAAAAAAAAACAAAAAGAGGCCTACTGTGTTTTCTCAAACACTCAGGAAGAAGAGGAGAGAGCAGCTCCAGGGGTCACATTTAGCAGTGCTTACATGACTGCCTCAGGACAGCATCTTAAAGTGTGCAAAAATTTGTTTCACGCTCCAACAGGGTGAAACAGTTTTGCTATCAGGCAGATCCTGTGTCTCCCTCCCAAGAAGTTGACAGCATGAAGACAGATTGATTTCACCAAATTCACCCCTGTAGTAGTTCTTCAACAAATATTTGCACAGTGAACCACTGTGTGCCTGGTCCTCTGGGAGGTGCTGTGTGAAAACAAGTATCCAAAGATACGAACATTAACCTGACCTAACTTGCAATATATTTTGGGCAGACAAGATAGAAAAGTAAATAACTGCAGAGGAGTATCAGAGACCTGCCCGTTGAATGGATTGGAAAGTAGGGGAATTTGGGGTGAAAGGGAAAAAAGCCATTGCACTGGAGCTATTTAATTCAGAGCAGTTTATATGATCCCCACAGTCCTAAAAAAAAAAAGGGACAAGAGTGTTCCATTTGGCCTAAATGTCAAGGAGAATGAGGGCAATGACTTTCGATGGCTAGGACATTGCTGTTGACCTTTAAGACTAGGAATGTTAGGAAAGGATGGTATTGGAAGTGACATTGCTGTTCCAGGGCAGGCGCATCTGAGCAAATGGATGGTTGTCACACCCTGAAGATGTATGACAGTAAAAAGAGGAAGTACAGCAGACTCAAGAAGAGTTGTAGGGTTTTTTCTTATAAGAAAATTGTTACCTTGAAGGTAGAAACAAATAGATTATTAAAAGGCACAAGGTTAACTGTGTTTGACAGGTAACAAATTGTAGAACCCCATCAGCATAATGCTAATAAGAATCAAGATAATTGGTCGATAGCATTTTTGATAATGAAATAAACTGACATAAGATTTTTTTTTACATTTTGTGGAAAAACATTACGTTAAACTCAAATAACATTATAGATTAATGACTAAACTGAGAAGTAAGAGGAAGGATTCGAAGGATTTTTCTATTTCGTCTCTTGCTTTGAAGCACATCCGTATCCTCTGGTAGTAGTTTAGTGAGGCTCTTCCTTACCTCCCAGTAGCTCACTGATGTAGTTTGTATCCTGAGCATCCCCAGAGGTCCATGTGTTGAGAGCTTGGTCCCAGCCCAGGGTACTGTGGGAGAGAGTGGAGCCTGCAGAGGGCAGGGCCCAGTGGGAGGAACTCAAGCCATTGGGGCACTCCCTTGAAGGGACGCCCCCTTTATCTTCCCTTCTCACTCACCTTGCCCACAGTTGTGAGGTTAGCAGGTCACTCTAATGCATGTACTCCATGACAGTGCCTTACCACAGGCACAGGGCTACAGGGTCCACCATGGACTGACACTACCAAGACCTTGAGCCAAAGTGAACCTTTGCTTCCTGTCACCTGATCTGCCCAGATACTGGATGCAGTAATGGAAAGCTGCCTAACCAACCCCCCTTGAAACTGTGCAAGCTTTTCTGGAGCTCACCTCTGTTTTCACTGCCTATCAGCGAAGGCTCTGCTGACCCATTTTATATCAGTGATTGACAAAGGTGGGAGGAGAGAGGAAAGACTCTTAGTAGACGCGCTTTCTTTTCAGTGTGGTGTTCAGGGTCCCTCTCAGGATGAGTGCAGGTTTTATCCCACTCGGTGATAAGCGGTGTGTCAGACTTCATGCAGACAACCAAGACACTGAGAAAACACTACACATGCTTTTGGGCGTGATTACTGCACTTTCCAAATGTGTGTGCAGTTATGCCATGTCCCTGCTGGTTGGAGGCCCACATGGATGCCCGTGGTTCCTTCAGAATGACACGTGTCATTGTGCGGGACTGTTGCCATCATGGTCTCACAGGGGTTGCTCTGTTCTCCTCAGACACAGGTGTGTTTGCAGTGGTAAACAGCCGCTCCATGTCCTTGCTGGGGAAGCTGACCATCAGTGCAGCCTTTAACATCATCTACATCTACACCTCTGAGCTCTATCCTACCATCATCAGGTATGTGTCTGCCTGCGCCTACTCCTGGAGTTGCTCCTGTGGGCGGGGCACGGCCCTCCCTCCCTCTGCTCCTGTGGGCGGGGCACGGCCCTCCCTCCCTCTGCTTCTGTGGGCGGGGTTCTCCCCCTTCTGTGGGCGGGGCGAGGTCTTCCCTCCCTCTGCTTCTGTGGGCGGGGCTCTCCCTCCCCCTGCTCCTGTGGGCGGGGCACAGCCCTCCCTCCCCATGGGCGGGGCAAGGCTCCCCCCTGCCTCTGTGGGCGGGGCTCTCCCTCCCTCTGCTCCTGTGGGCGGGGCACAGCCCTCCCTCCCCATGGGCGGGGCAAGGCTCTCCCTCCCTCTGCCTCTGTGAGCAGGGCGCAGCTGTCCCTCCCTCTGCTCTGGAGTCTGCATCAGCAGTGACTCAGCACGCCCACTGCAGCTCACAACCTCTCTGGAGGCAGCTCTCTGCCTGTGTGCCTGAGGAAACTAGTTTCATCGTGTGCTAAATTCCCTCTTGCGGATTGTAAGAGGAGTACTTTACATGAACAGAGCTGCGTGCCGGGTTTGGCTGTCTTTACTTTGGTGAATTTCATTTATTTAATCACCAGTTTAGTGATTAGGGAACACAATCCCTTTTCTCATAGAGCCTCTATCTTAGCACAATATATGCACATAGTAAATAATTATTTCATATATTAATAGATAAACTTAAATATTAGTTAAAAATTATTTTAATGAATATGTTCTGCTTATATCCAATAGGAATAGATTCCATCCTAAATTTCATAAAATCAGTTTGAAAACAAAAAGCAAACCCAAATCTGAGGGAGAGGAGTGTAGTTAGTTTCTGTAGAGCTGCCTTTGTAGAGTTAGAATCACTCAGATGGAGCCTTTTGTCTCTTTTTGTTCAAGAAATCCAAGCGTCCTCTCTGCCTGTTGATTTAAATCTCTTTTTCCAGCAACAGATCACATTGTTTACCCACTTCCCGATTGTTCTTACAGTCACCTCATAAAAAGTGAAGATGCATCTGAGAGGACATGGACATTATTGACAATTAGGCTGAGGTGACAGAGTGGTGTCTTGCTGTCCTTTCATTCCCATTTCTTCTCCCTCTCACGTCTTTCCTGCCTATGACCCAATAAAGCTACTGTTGTAGGTTTCCTGACAGTGAATGCACTGAGTCCTACTAACATGCCTGGCTTTTTAATAGTTCATACATTGGACTTAAGGAAGTGGACAGGCTTTTCAGGTCACTAAGCCCTCTTTCTATGACTGTCTTAACTGACTATAATAGTAGACCTAAGACACAAACACCTGTAAGAATATTTGATAAAAAATAAATACTCAAATGCTGATTTTAACATCATCCTCAGGAGATGTACTAGCCATATGACAGTCACTAGCCTCAAGTGCCTATTGAAATTTAATTAAAATTGGGTAAGTTAGAAATTCAGTTCCTCATCTGCATTTGCCACATTTTGAAGTACAGTCGCCACCTGCATCCAGTGACTCAGTATCAGGCAGCGCAATTCCAGTACATTCCCAGCACAGCGGAGAGTTCTAGTAGGCAGTGCCGCTGTGCAGTTTCCTCGGCTTCTGCTTTGGCGTGTTCTGTTCCAGGCCCTTTATACCTCTCCATGGGGATTTTTAATGTTTCCCCTACAACTCACTAATTTTTGTTTTACTTTTCCTTGTGCCTTCTAGGAACGTTGGGCTGGGAACTTGTTCCATGTTCTCCCGAGTTGGTGGGATTATTGCTCCCTTCGTCCCCTCACTGGTTGGTTTGTACCTCCTAGTTTTATTTTTCACCATTCTCTGCTTCAGAAATACTTGTCTTTTTTGAGTAGAAAAGGTAATGAACAGACATCTGTTAGGTCAGCAGACACAGATATGAACCGTGTACCTTTCAGAAGAAGGCCCAGGACTCCATCAGGACAGATAGCCTGGGACCCTTCCACCCCCTGGGTCTGATTCTGTGTTCATCTCTAAGCATTGGAGAGTCAGCTGGTGCCGCAGAACCGCCTTTGCTGCCCGTTCAGAAGTCAGCTATTCCGTATCTATTAAGCCTCTGCTTCACGCTGGACTCTGTGACAAGTACGCTATGCACGCCACTGTGTGCACGTAATAATCACAGGAGAAATCCTACAAACAGATGAAACATCTTTCCCCAAAGCATACCACTGGGAAAAGAAAACTCGAAATCTGAGCCTACATGTGTGTCTCTTCAGGTTCATTGGCATTTTCTAATTTTTGTGGCCCAATAAGAGGTGAAACACTAAACCAGAGCCCAGAAACTCACCCAGTCTTAAAATACTTGGCTTCTCTGAAAGAACTATGGGGCCCCGTGCGAGGCTGTCCTTCCCCACTCTGGGGCTTTCCAGGCCACACTTGCGGAAAGGTGACTAGATTTGGCGTGGGGTTGGTGGGCCTTTTCTGTAGATTGCTGATCACTTCTAGTCTAGGATGCCTCTGAAATGCCACAGCCACCAACTCACGCTTTGAGCTACAGTACTCTTGCTTCTCCTGTGTCGCTCTCCCTCCCCAGTCTCATGCCCAGCTGTGGGTCACAAGACCTCACTTAGAAGAGAGTGCTATTCACTCTAGGTTTCGTCAAGCAAAATGTGTGGGACCCTAGACATACAGTATCAAAACTATCCAACTTTGGGCGTCTGTCCTAGGGCATTGCAAAAAACTCAACTCCATCTCCTTCGGTTCCTGAGAGAAGGGGCAGTGCTGGGTTCCCCTTGTTTCTACAGCACCCAGACTGGCCAGGTTCGGCATGCAGGATTTAGGGTGGAGAGGGAGGACCCCATCTGTCTCCCTTCTTCTTTCTGCCCTTTCTTACTCTCCTGGCTTTCCCTGCTCTTTTTCCTCCTCACACCCCCTCCTCCCTCCTTTCCCCATCATGTCTGAAAGTTGTCTGAGATGAAATCCTAATTGGTACTCTCCGAATAGGGAAGGCTAAAGCAGATCATAGAGTCAGTACCTCCCTTACTGGAATCTAGAATTTCAGTCCCCTCAGAGTGGCCTCGAGGCACCATCCTGAAAGCTGCTGTTTCTTTCTTTGTCTTTGAACCCACTTGTATAGAAAGAGAATATTAAGTTCTCCTAAGACTATCTTTTGGCTCTGTGAAGCAGTTGCCATTTAGCTTTGCCATTTTAATTTAAGCACTTACAAACTATGCATGTGATAGGGTTTTGTTTTGTTTACCAGGAGGTTTTGTCCCTTTCATTCCTGGCCTCTGTTATGGTCCCATGGGCTGTGGAGTGTTTGGGCAGATTCCAGGATTGAGAACTTTAACCTTGCCGAGGTCTCTCATATCGCTGTAGCTGCCAAGGGATTAAAGTTCATTGCCTGCAAATAGTTCTGGGGTGTCTCTCATGTGAAGAGAGTGTGGAGGTCACTGTTACAAGCTCCTCCCAGGAGTGGAAGCTGGACACCAGGCTTTCTTGTGTACCTGCCCTGCTCAGAAGCAGCTGGGCCTCAGCGCCCGCACTCCCGTGCTGCTCCTGGATTTACCCAAACCCATCTCTCCATGAAGAATCAGTCCAGTTTCCCACTTGTCTTAGTTAAAATTTTCCTCATTGCTGGTACAAAATACCTGACACCCAAAATTAAGGAAGGAAAGGTTTATTTAGCTCGCAGTCTATGGAGGTCTTTGTCTGTACTGGGCTGGCTCCAAGGCAGAGTGGCACATGGCAGGGGACCAAAGTTCACGAGACAGAAAACCGAGAGCAAGGGAGGAGCAGTGGCTGTGGAAATTAGCTAGCCTCTCTGTCCTCCTTACATTACCTTCAGGCTCTCAGCCCCAGGGTGTGTAGCACTTACACCACAATCCCAGCAGTATTCAGACCCATAATCCCAGTTTTGGATTATGAATTAATCACAGACTCTAGAACTGAGCCCCAATGAGGGCATGATGCTTTGGGGCGACAACTACACACAAACCATAACACCACCGTAGTTCTCTGTAGTGAAAGAAAAAGTGATCCAGAGCATAGTCTGGTGGGAAGGCCCAGACTGGGTAGGAGCTGTGTTGTCCTCAGTCCTGGGACCGCAGAGGTCGTGTGATGAGGACACTCACTGACCCTTTGTTTCTGTTTGCCCCATCCCTCCAGAAATACGTGCAGTGGTCTTTACCCTTCATTGTGTTTGGAGCCACGGGCCTGACCTCAGGCCTCCTGAGTTTGTTATTGCCGGAAACCCTGAACAGCCCTCTGCTGGAGACGCTCGCTGACCTTCAGGTGTACTCCTACCGGAGGCTGGGGGAGGAGGCTGTGTCTCTGCAGACCTTGGCCACGCCGCAGGTGCGCTGCCCTTCCTCCCACCCATTTGCAGCTGCTGTTTGGCCCATGATAGCTGTTGGGAAAAAATACTTTGGGGGTCAGATTAAATAGAATAGAAAACAGTGATAGAAATCTAACAGGAAGGGATGTTCAGAAAAATGAAAGATGACAGGAGATCCATTAGATTTTTTCTTCCTAGGGAGAAAAAGTGTATTTAGCTCATGGTTTGTGGAGGTTTCAGTTCACGCTCTGCTGGCTCCAAGGCAGAGTAGCACATGGCAGAGGGCAGCCGTTCACGGCAGCAGAAAACAGCAAGAGCAACAAAAGCAAAAAGGCAGGAGCTCCATTAGAGTTTTAAAATGCATAGAGCCTGCTCCTCAGGGAGGTAGATGCCACAGAAATCCATTTGTCAGTTGAACAGTTAGCTGGCAGCTTCTGCTGTAGAAATGTTGTGGTGACCGCTCCCTGCCCTCTGCTCCCTTCCTGTGGCAGCCGGCGGACGAGGAGAGGACTTCAGGGAGTGAGAGCGAGGAGGAAGAAGAGTTTTACGATGCCACTGAAGAGACTCAGATGATCAAGTGAAGAGCCCGAGCGCCCCGCTCAGAGCCAGAGAACCACCGTTATGCCTCTGACCAAGGCAAGTTCTCCCTTGAATCCTCACAGAGCTGAGTCAGATAGGCTTGGCGCCAACATGTGCGGGTGATGCTCAGCGCGGACTGCCTTTGTTAAAGTACCCAGAAGTTGGAGAAGAGATTCCATCAGAGAAAACATCGCTGCCTGAAAGACAAGTTCTTAACGTGTCCAGGGCTGAAGCTCAGCTCAGAGTCGTGAGCTCTGGCCTCCCAGCTCTCGCCCACATTCCAGGGCAGGAGCCTGAGACACGGTCACAAGTTTGGTGACACTGTTTTTCTTCCCTTGTGATCTGGAAGCAGATAAGTAAAACTCACCATTTTAGTAAGATTAAAGAAGCTGTTCTTAAAATTGAAACCTCATGTCATGTGTGACATCTGTCCCCTACCACTTGCACTTGGTCCCCAGGAAATCTTCAGGGGCAGCTTAGTGTGAGCACTTAATTTTGCACGGAAGGAAGCGTTCTCAGAGAGCATAGGGTGTCCTGAGGCCCTTGGGCTTTACCTCAACTGCGGATATCCAGTGCTGAGCTTGCTTCCCGGCCTGCTGGTTGGCCTGGTTTTCTTTCCCTCTGGTCCCAGGTAGAGAATGTGTACATGTTCATAGAAGCACTAATTAACTTATTAATTCACGACTAAGCCCAGAATAGTTTACTAGAGGCAGAGGTGCGGCTATGGCCGGTAGCGCTCTCTGGTACTTAAATCATGTGATCACTTCAATTCCCAATGATGGTCACCTCCAGGAAAATTATCTTCCTGGAGTCTAGTACAGTAATAACTTCAAAATCCTGCACAGTAAACAATAAAGCTTTATAAAGGTAGCAAGAGGTTAAAGGCAACATGTTGTTCTGTTGGATTTAAAAAAAAAAAAGATGTGGCTTTTAATAAAGGGCAAAAAGAATTATCTTTGGCAATTTTATATTTGTTTGCTTTCAGTATTGTATAAGAAGGGGTTTGGGCAACATTGAAAAACTTGCACTCTTGTTGCTTTGACGCAGCCCTTACCTGTTAGACAGAATGGAAGGCACAGACGTTTCTTAGGAAATAATTTACTTTTTCATTCATTGTGATTGTGAGCGAATAAAAATTCATGCTTAGTTTCTTGAGATCATGTGCTGAAATTACTGATTTCTCCACGGAACTTGAACACTCTCTCCGATAGGGAGTGGGAGCCAGGGGTTCAGCAAGCTTGGGCAGCAGTGTTTGGGCTCATTTTCCCAATGAGGAAAATCTCTGTGTGTTCAAAATCTCCATTTCTGATAAGCTCTTGGAGAGAGAGGAATCGTGTGGGAGGCAAAGGGAAGGTGTCCCTGGCCGCGTCTAGAAATCTTGGCAGTGCCCCGCCTGACCTGCTCCATTCCCTTCCATACTGACACTGCACTATGTTCATTCATTGTACCTTGGTCTTTGTTCAAATGTTTATGTCCTTTTTGCCCTTGATCGTGTATTGGGCTGTTTGGAAATAGGAATCATCCCAGCTACCCTGTTTCTCTTTGCTGTGCCCAGAGTGCTGGCCCAGACCTAGTAAGGACCCGAAAAATGTTACTGTTTTTCACCACCAAGAAAATGGTGACGCTCCTCCAGGTAGCATTTTGGAAAACTTAACCCACACCCCCAAACTGTGGACTTCTTATTTTTCACTGGAAAACGGAGATCTCACCACTGGGAGAGGGAGAAAGGAAGAACTTACAGATTTTGTTAAATGTCAAATATTTGAAATAAAATGATAAACTAATGTATGTATAATTTTTAGTTGCATGGAGCTGTCTTTTCATTATAATAGAAATACAACCCAAAGTTTGGAACCTAGAAGTTAGAAATGTGTATCTGTAGGCCCAGGGTGATGCTGGACAACCGGTAGTGTGGCTTCCCTCCCTGTGGGGACTACTGGAGAATCCATCTCTATAGACACTGGGGTTCCTGCCGCCTTGGGCTAAATAAGTGATCATTCCACTAATTCTGTCCCTGGGTTTCTTCTTTTCCTGGCCAGGAAGGAGGGTAAAGCAGGAAGGAATCCACAGATTGATTATGTGTTGTTTAACAAGTCAACTGCTGGTACCAGGTGTATCGTTGAATTTTGTTTCTTCTGGATAGTCCTTTCGGCAAAAGTTGAAAATTACTGTTTTTTTATTTCTACTGCTATAACAATAGATTTTTTTTCATTTGATAATGACTATTGGAAGAATATCCATGGTAGAGAATGTGCCCGTGTGTGCATATTCACTTATTAAATCCTGAGGAAACTTGCCAGGTGTGTGGTGCTCACCCAAAGAAAGAGCCAGCATTCGGAAGGCTGACACAGGAGGATCTCTGCAAATTTCATGCCAGCTGTGCTCTGTCCTGAGTTCAAAACCACCCTGGACTACATAGTGAGACCCTGTCTCAAAAAAACCAAAAAAGTAATAATAATAAAATAAGTATTAGAAGAAGTTTGATTGGTAGTAACATACGTTGTGCAGATGATTGTAAAAAGTTTCCTCTTGGCCTTTTTCATTTTAGTCAAGATAAATTTCTTTTCTCTGAAAAAGTACCTGGAAAAAAGTAAGGAAACATACTCCAAGGTTGCGACAGCTGAAGTCCGGGCAGAATCGCTGTGCTGCGGTCCACTGCGTGGCGTGCTGAAAGAGACCAGGCAGTTCCCTGGTTTTGTGAGTTAAAACCATGGCCTATCGAAAAGCTGATGGGTATACAAGCAATACACACATTCTTTAGCATGTCTACATTAATAAGTGAATACAACAGAGAAAATGAAAATTCCCGGGATATTGCTCAAGTAACTGTAACCTGAACAAATGTTTTTATGGTGAACATTGGTGAAGACGCTTTTACTGGATAATTTATATTCTTAACAAATATACATTGAAATAACTGTCATTCTTATATCAGAATTAAAATACCACTTTTCAGTAGGACTTATTTCCTCATCCAGATTTTTGATCATTGGTCCTTAAATTGTAAACGTAGATTTTTCTTAACTAAATGAAATGAAGGTGTTTCAGAGTCTTGCAAATTTAATAAAGGATCACAAAACATAAGCCTTTGCTCTTGTTCTTACAGAATGTGTTGAGGTACACATCTTTGACAAATACATTACGTGCTGGAAATCATAGGTGATGTGGGGAACAGGATATATGGCAAAATGAACATAAAGCATTTTTCGAAAAAGAATGCAAAAATGCTACAGAGGGGGCAATCCAGCTATGCAGGACCTCAGAGAAGGGCCTTCTGATGTCCTCGGTAGATGCATGCAGATCGTTGGACAAAATTCAGAATTTATTCACAATAAAAGCTGCTACCACGCAAGGAATACAGAAAATTTCTTTGGCAAAATAAGGAATATTGCGGTAAATAAGGTGAATTAGCACACAGTATCCCTTCCTGGTACTTGGGCCTTCAGATTTTCTGAAACCGGACTCCTTGTAAGAAATACTTTTTTACATACTCATTTTCTTTCTTTCTCTGTCTCTGTCTATGTGTTTCTCTTTCTGTCCTTACAAATATGTTCATGTATAAAACATCTATAAACATGTATATATAAGACACAGGGCCAGTGAGATAGCTCTGGGCTGGCAAGATAGCCCAGCAGACTAAGTGCCTGCTGTGGCAAGCACAAGGACCAGGGTTCAATCCCTGGTCCTTCATGCTGTGCCAGCCCTGCCCCCGAGGCATGCTGAGCCGGAGACAGTCCAGGCGTGGTGGCTCACACCTGTAATCTCAGTGCTGGGAAGGCTGAAAACAGGAGGATCACTACCAGTCTGAGCTGTGTAGTTAGGCCCTGTGCCAAATACATAAAAAATGAAAACATTAAAGCATAAATACATATAAGCATGTATATATTCCTAAAACATAGATCATGTGCATAGCTTTATGAAGCAGTAGTTACTCTTGCTAAGTGTACTGATACTGATACCATGTCTGTTTCATTTTTTTAAATTATTTTTTAAAAATAATTTTATTGAGAAAGAAGTAGCAATGAAA